GTTTCGGCGATACTGGCCCTGAAATACTTGGTATCGGATCGAATCCAGATTTTGTGGTATCGCCCACCCCTACTGATTGTGAGTGCGTGCATTCGCGTGTGTGTGTGTGGGGCCCTTCAGAAACAGAGCGGAGGGAGAATGTGAATACGCAAGGCTGTGGACAACTGAAACATGCACATTGGATAAATAACATAGGCGTTTAGTTTATTTAATAAAAGAGCACATGTTCAATGTGAAAAGTGACTGTTGATAGATTACTTCAGTTGCAATTTGGTGCTATATATATATATATATATTTATTTAAAAAAATTGTTTTATTATTTAAAGAAATATATATATAAAAAAAACAAAAAACACCTTGAATTTCAGGCAGGGCGCGGGACTCCATTGGCAGGGCGCAGCGCCCCGCCAGGACAATGGTAGGGGAAACACTGGCGTTCACACACGGGGGGGTCCAAAGAGTTTCAGGGAAGGCTCAGTGAATAGAAATTATAAAGAAGAATACGCTATTTAAGGAGGATCACATAGAATAGCGAAAATGTGGGTTTAGTTAGAGATAGTTCAAGATTCACAGGTTTATTGTCATAACATATACACAACTAAGGTGTCATTGTGTATTATATGGAAGACTTAGACAGCAGGTTTCCTCAACAGTGCAATTTACAAGACATAACAAATATTTGTGCAAGATTGTTCGGTATCTGTGGGATCAAAAACACAAATATGATCCCATTTGTATCCACGAATTGGAAATACTAAGTCAACTAAGGTGGGGGGCTGCGGAGGTGCTTTTATCCCAGCATTTTCTGAAGGTAGGCCCACAGTCTCTGAAAACCACTGATCTAGACAGTTAGAAAACAGCATAATAAAGCAATCCATTTTCCAACTGTTCAGGACCGGGCCCAAAACCAGGGTACCTCTCAAGGCCCGGGGAAGGCTCTGCCCGCCCAGCACCAGCCAGCACCAGGAGGCCCCTCTCCAAATGCCCAGCCTCAGGACAACGATGAGGATGAGACTTGGCGCCAGCGCAGGAAGCAGTCTTCCACTGAGATCTCTGCTGCTGTAGAGCGAGCCCGTCGCCGCCGCGAGGAGGAAGAACGTAGGATGGAGGAAGAGAGACGTGCAGCCTGTGCAGAGAAGCTGAAGAGGCTGGACGAGAAGCAGCAACAGCAGCTGGGCAGCAACACAGACGGTGGTAGCGAATGTAAAAGCCCCAGTCTGGATGGAAACTCTACTGCTGCCACAGAAGGCAGCCCTTGCCCATCTATTTCAGCCTCTGCATCCTCCCCTAACATCAGCCAGCCTCCATCCCCCTGTGTTGACCCCGAGGAGCCTCCATTGCTGCTTGTCCAGCCGGGGTCCAGTCCTGGAATCATCGAACGTCAGCGAGCCAGCAGCAACAGCAGCTATGACTCCAGTGCAGGTCCGTTTCTTTGTTCTATTATTAGGATCACTTGCATGTGATAAGTCTTTCTTATCTTTTAAAATATAGCAGTTTTTCTATAAAGCCTCCACATATTGATTCATGCCCCCTTTCAACCTTTCAACCTTTTGTCTTGGTTCAGAAGCGCCGCAGTGTCCCCAGCCGGCTGCGTCACAGCCCCTGCAGTCCGCACTGGACGTGCCTTTACCAGAGGAAACCAAGGAAGAGAGCGTTAGCGCCACACACATTCGTGCTAGTAGTGGAGGTGAAAGAGGAGTCGACCCGGTGAAGATGGAGAATATCGGAGGGGGAGCAAGTCGTCAAGCTGGAGGTCCTCCAGGCCAGGGTTACTCGAAGTACCAGAAGTCTCTTCCACCTCGGTTTCAGAGGCAGCAGCAGGTTAGGATCCGTACTTATGTCGCAAACGAGTTTCGCTCATTGTACATCTTATTAATACCAACATATAATAACCATAAAAGCTATGTCTATTACTACAAATGCAGCCATGCCTTTTAGTAGGTATTTCTGATATTCCTGTTTTTAAATGTTAATACTATGTTTTGCGTTCTGTTTCTATCTAGGAGCAGCTCCTGAAGCAGCAGCAGCAGTGGCAGCAGCAGCAGCAGCAACAACAACAACAACAACAGCAAGCAGCAGCAGCAACAACAACAACAACAACAACAGCAGCAACAGCAGCAGCAGCAACAGCAGCAACAACAACAACAGCAGCAGCAGCAGCAGCACAGCCAGGCTTCACAAAGCCAGCTGTCACCCCAGCCCCAGCCTCAGCAGGGTCCTTCACCGGGTTCAACACCCCAGCCAGGCCCTGGACCTAAGCAGGGTGGCCCCATGTATCAACCCGGCAACATGGTTCGACCCCCGCCCCTGCCAATGAATTTCGACCCTCGCTGGATGATGATGCCCTACATGGACCCCCGCATGATGCAGGGCCGCCCTCCACCTATGGACTACTATTCAGCAGGAATGCACCCGTCTGGTGAGTAGATGCTTTGAAGATAAATAACTCTGGTGTACTGCTGGTAAAGTAATTAGATTAAATAATACTATCATAATACAGAAAGTGAAGTAAAGTCAACAATATTTCTTCTTTTTTTTTTACATTATCCGTTTGGATATTTTCTTGAAAAATGATAATTTACTTCTACAGGGCTTATTGGGCGTGAACGGTCTGATTCAGGGGGGTCTGGTTCAGACCCCTTTGATAGGCAGCAACAGCATCCAGGGCACCCTCACCGTGGGACCCCCCCTATGGATCCTAAGATGGCCTGGGGGCAGGAGGTATTCCCTGGTGGAGTAGAGGGCCATGGAATAACCTCCCCACTCAGACAGAAGCAGGCATTGGAGGAGGACGATGTGGCCAAAGGGCCCAGGTAAGGATACACCTGTTTTTATGCTCAAAGTGTCGAGGATAAAAGTTATTTTGTAATACAGTTGAACTGAGCCTTTTTTAAATGTATTAATTGAATATTCTTTCAATCTTTCTCCAAGGAGCGACACTCCTCCTCATCGCATTCAAGAGGGTAGATTGGGACCCATTCAGCAGCCCAGCTCCACCTCTGGGACATCCAATCAGACACCGCCGCTAGTTGGCAATCAAGTTGGGACCCAGGGCCACCACCCTCATCACTACATGAGTGGGCGGGGCAACTACAGCAACTTCCCTGACCAGGGTGCGAGGATGCATCCCCACCAACAACAGAGGGCGGAGAGGGGAAATCAGCAGCACGCCTACACCCACCAGGAAGAAGGACCTCCACGAGGGTCTCAGCAGGGACAGATATGGGGAGCCCCTCACCCTCACTATGATCGCAACGGCCGTACTGAACATCCCCCAATTGAGAGCAACTCTCATCTCCACCACCATCACAGCCACCACCCTCAGCAGCCTCACTTCCCTCTCCATGGCCATAAGCCAGAGAACAACAGAGACAGGGTTGTTGAGGCGCCTGCTAAGAAGACCGACTCTTCTCCCCCAATCAACCAACCTTCCCTCTCATCCTCTTGCTCTTCCTCCTCCTCCTCTGTCAGAGAAGATGGGAATGTCAAAGCTGTCATGCACCATCACCCGAATCAGAGAGAGAGTGAAGGGCACAGTCAGGCTGAAAGAGGCAACAGTGGCAGTAACAACCATGTGAAACAGGAGAAAACCGGCCCAGCATACACTCCCCATTCCTCCATGACCCCTAGCCCAACCCCTGCTCAACATGGCACTCAAACTCAGCCTCAGCCTCAGCCTCAGCCTCAGCCTCAGCCTCAGCCTCAGCAGCAGCAGCAGCAGCAGCAGCAGCAGCAGCAGCAGCACCACCACCCTCATGCTAAACCAAACCAAAGAGGGGGGCGGGAACACAAAACGGAGACCCAGTGGGGCCCACGACCTGGAAGCAGCAATACTGGTGGGGGGTCCTCTCATGGTAGGAGGGCCAACAATGCTGGAGGTGGGAACCACTCCCGTGGAGGGGAGGACTCTTTCACTCCATCGGACCACAAACCCTCCAACCAGACAGGAGGCAGCAATGCCAACAGGAGGGCCGGCCCAATTAAGAAGCCGGTGCTGAAAGAGATGAAGAGAGACGGAGGGGAAGCTGATGGAGGAGAAAAGAATATCTTTAGTAAGGATAAAGAGAAGGATAGTAGCCAAACCAGTTCGGTGAAGCAGGAAGGCTCCTCCACCTCCCAGAACACATCAGCTCCATCTAAAGATGAGCCAGCTCAGACAGCCAAACCCAGGAATGGAGGGAAAGAACGAGGAGGAGAGGAGGAGAGGAGGGGGGGGGAGGGGGCGGGTCTGGTAGAGGGCCCAAAGATGGAGATGCCACTTCTTTAGGATTTTCAGGTTCTTCCTCCAGGAGGGACAGGGACCGCTCCTTTGAGAGAGGAGGAGGCCCCCCCCACCACCATGGGGTCCCTGCCAAAGGCAGCAGAGTCAGTCGCGGACGAGGAGGAGAGTTCTACGGCCGTGGCCGTGGTTTCCGTGGCGCTTACACCGCCGCTGCTGGGCCCACTCCCGGCGGTCGGGGCAGAATGGGTGGCAGGAGCGGCAGAGACTACCGTTCATCTGTCGGCAGTGGCCACAACCACGAGTCAAAGGGCGAGGGAGCCGGGGGTCGGCACGGTCAGGATCGGTCCCAGCATAACCCGGCCCGAGCCAGGAACCGCAGTGAAACCCGAAGCGAAGGCTCAGAGTACGAGGAAATCCCCAAGAGAAGGAGGGAGAGAGGCTCAGAGACCGGGAGTGAGAGCGGTGCAAGTGACCTCGGCCCCTCTGACAAGGACGAACACCCGAAACCCAGCAAGAATGGCTCTGACAACGCCAATGCCACCGGCAGCGTTAACATGTCATCTGCACCACCCAGAGGATCCCAGGCCCGGGTGTTTACACCAAGAGGTGTGCCCTCAAGGAGGGGCAGGGGTGGAGGAGGTGGAGGAGGAAATATGTACAGAAGTGGTGGCAATGTTGGAGGCCCACCAGGGGGACACAGGGGCGGACCCGGCCCCGCCTCTCAGGGTGGGTCCTCCAAGTCATCAGGCTCAGCCCGAAAGCAACAAGTCCCGCCTCATACCTCTGGACCCAAAGACTCGGGCAGGGGAGGAAATGGAGGAGAGAAGAAAGACAAAATAGCTGATGCTAGTCAAACTCAAAGTCAGGGGTCCAATCCCCCTCAGCCGTCTCTGCCCGCTGCACCTCCTGCCAGTTTATGTTCCACTGAAAATGGAGGAGTTGTGACGCAGCAAGCTTCGAGCAATCCTACGCCCAATCCTACGCCAAACTCCGGAGGGCCAAACGCTCCTCTTCCCACTAACCGTGGGTTCCCTCCCAGCGGGTTTGAGCGCCCACCCAGACGTCGTCGTCATGGGCGGTCCCAGCACCAGCAGGACAAGCCCCCCCGCTTCCGTAGACTGAAGGAACGAGAAAATGCAGCGCGCATCAACGGAGGAGTGGGGGTCATCGGTGGAGGAAGGCCCTCCTCCCCTTCCCTGAATTCAGTTCAGGACAGTAACGGAGCACCCACCTCAGCCCCTGTCACAGGCAATGCCCAAAATACTAACCACACCACACTAACAACCAACAATAACAGTGGTGGCGGGCATCTCGGCAATGCAAATAATCACCATCATCACCACTACAACCAGGGCAACGCCGGACAGACGCACCCCCAGCACCACCACAGCCACGGAGCAAAGTCCCCCGACTTCACCAACCAGAACTCGGACCAGGCCAACGAGGAATGGGAGACTGCCTCCGAGAGCAGCGACTTCACAGAGTTCAGAGACAGGGAGGGAGGAGGAGGGGGCAAGGCCTATTCTTCTCACCATCCCCACCACGTGGGAAGGGGTGGAGGGGGAGGTGGTGGCGCGGTCGACCGTGACATGTCGGGGAAAGAGCCCTTGGCTAATAAAAGAAGCTTCTCAAGCCAGCGTCCAGGCATGGAGCGACAGAACCGAAGGGTCAACCATGGAGGAGGAGGAGGAGGAGGAGGTGGTGGAGGAGGGGGAGGAGGAGGAGGAGGAAGAGGCCCACGAGGGCCGCCCGGTGGCGGCTCCGGTGGTCCCGGAAATGGAGGAGGCAACCGCGGGGAGAGGCGTGGCAACTGGCCCTCCCCGAAAAATAGGAAGTGATGAAAAACATTTCAGATGAACCCCACCCACATTAAAAACACCCTCTTACATCCTAATCCCTTTTTGATAATTACTTCATGGCTTATCTGTTGGCTTCCCTAAACATATTAGTGCATTGAACAGTTCATGGAGATGGTATTTACCTTCACTTCTTCCCCTTAGCATCAACCCACTATCTACCGTCCGTTATTGTAAATTTCTCCGTTTGTTCCTTCTTGCTCTCCGTTCAGTTGTGCCCCCTCCCTTATCTTCCCTCAAGAACCTCACCCCAGTTGGATTTTAACAAGCATGTGGTTCTGCAAATGGGAGGTGCACGACGTTTTGACAGACATTCACACAGAGATCCACACACACTCACATATACAAGCACAAATCAGACATCTTTATGAACACACGGAACACATGCAGTCATGTGGGTGCAAAACGAAAAACGGGGGATTAAATTGGCAAAAATGGATTGGGCAAATTTTTATATTTATGTACCGGTGTATATTTCTACCACACTTTGGCCTTGGGTGGTATTCAGTAGTGCAGTGCTGCATTACTTCCCTCACAAAGGGAAAAAGCTGCAGCTTCATCTTTTAACGTGAACAATGTACCATAAGATGTTTTCTCTTTGTGTCTTTTTTTTGGCCTTGTGTCAGATGAGTTTCAACCTCTCAGCAAATGTTAGGGGTGTGGGTATTTTCTTCTAAAACGCAGGTAATTAAAAAACCTTTTTAATAAATTCCCCAAATCCCCTTTTTGATGACTTTTTGGTCTCTTGCAAACTATGTGTATGATTACTGTGATAGGACCCATCAAAGTACTACTGCTTAGTGCTCACCTACACTTTGCATTGATCACATTGATTTGTCTTTAATATCAATGTTTCTGCTGCTTGTTCAGATAGATGTGTGATTTTGTCCCAACCCCTAAAAAGTGGTTGACCTGCTCTGACATTTCATTTGGTTGGTCCTTTTTAGGAAATGATGGCTTTTTAGCCTCATCGTAGCATCCTCCTTAAGTTCTGCATCAGTTTCCCCAAGTTTTATTCTCTCATTTGTGAGTTTTGTTTACCCTTTCAAGACTGTATTAATAGCTTAATGGCTTTATTTTAACAACCATTATTTCCTCAGTGACTACCATTTGTATGGAAACACTTTTTTTTTTCTCCGAAGATGAAATACCTGTCGATCTTGTGAGGGGGGAAAACGAGTTAAGTGAAAATGTAGGTCATGTTAGAATTAAGAAAAAAAACTTTGACTTTCATAAAAGTTGTTTATGCTTCAATAGGTAATTACATATATGTTTTAATAAGCACTCCTTGTAGTATAACAAAAATCAAATGTTTGCAGGGGTTTTTTTAGGTTTTTTTCGTCTTTGTTTTTTTTGGGCAAGTTATGTCATGCATCAGGACAGGTACTCTGTCTGGGCCCAGAGTACAGACATAAGGATGAATATTGTACTAAAACACCCCCTCTGTGTACTCTTGTGGAGACTCCTCACACCGAGAAAGGACTAGTACCAAGAGCTCTGAGTCTGACAAAGTACTTTTCAAAGTGTGTGTTCTCGGGATGGCTGTTCCAGGACAACCAGAAGCCCAAACTAATAGATTTCAGGACAATGCTGCAACCCAGTTTCCAAGATTTCACTCGCAACAAATAATGCAGACCTGGAGTGTTGTGAAAATATTTGGATTGATGTAGAATTACACATGTAAACATAGTTTGTATCATACTTCAAATACATAAAATGGCACACAGACGGAATCCAACTAAAATCGATTTATACATCAGCATCAATTCTGTCACTGCTGTAAGTTGGGGTGTGTTTGTTTACTGACAACAGTTTGAAGATGGGATGTTGTGAGTAGGGCATTTGATGATTTGTGTACGTCGTGTGTGCGTGCTGGTGTGTGTGTGTGTGCTGGTGTGTGTGTGTGTGTGTGGCATGTGTGCGTTTTCCGGTGTTTGCATAATAACTCGGGGGAAGGGGTGGGGGACCAGAGGGGTTTAACATGAATGGCAAGCACTTTTCTGCCTTGTTTGCCCACATGTGATTTAACCAACATCATTAAGACAATTCTACTGTTTCTTAAATACATCCACATGTATACGTTCAGCTGTGTTTACATGTTCAACATCCAAATGAAGAACACGCAGTGGAGAACTTCACCCTTTTTTGTGTGTGTGTAATTTAATCATACATTTTTCTGCAGGCAAGTGAAGTTGGACATATTTTATTTTTCTCACTTCTAGCATGAACACACACCCATGGGTGCAGCTTGCCTTGCCTGTTTATACATTGATAGCTGTACACTTAAACTCTGGCTCAAAGAGTCCTTCATCCCTCCTTTACTCTTAATGTTGATGTGTGCATTATTTTATGTACCCATGTTAAAAGAAAACTAAATTAGTGTATTCCAGAAAGAAATTACTCAAAGATTGTACTATGTTTCCAGCATTACCAAGGTACCTGGAGTGGTTCAAACTGTTTTTTAGCATTTATGGTTTTATTAATGGAACCGTAATATACACACATGTATGTATATTGGTATGTATCTAAGTTTTGTCTACCCCAACTTACATTCCCATCAACAAATGTTGCTATTTTTAGTTCAAGGGAGCAATGTACAAGCAGAGAAGTGTCTTATTATAATAAAGTTATACAGAGAAGGCAAAGTTAAATAAACTACTTTTGATTTAATGGAAAAATGAAATGGCATGTCTCATTCTTTGTTTTTATATTTGAAACAAAACTTCCACTTCACATGTTTTGACAGGTCATAGCAAGAAAAACTTGTAGTTGGTAGAATGGTTTGATTCAATGTAGGTGTGTCAGTGAATCACTCAAAGCAGCCATTAGTTAATGGCTGTAAGTTGCAACTATGTTGATAGTTAAACATACTAATATCCAACTATGAACTATGTTGATAGTTAAACCTGTTTTTCACAAAATGTCCTTCAAGTTAATTTGTTGTTGATATTTATTATTATTATATAATCCATTTCTGTAGAACTAATGTTAAGCTACTATTTATTTTATAAAGTACCACATTATAAATATTACAAACTTGGAAATAATGTACACTATGTTGCAAATCTGCTAACCTAACTTTCCGAAGCGTGGATGATGATTTTAAGATGTTTTTAAAAAATGTTTATAGTTAACAAATACATTTAAAAAATGCATCTTATAGCATAAGTTATTTTTGTCCGAAAATTAGACTGAGAGACAACCTAATAGGGAACATGGAGGCTGTTCAAATTATGTGAATTTAGTATCGAATTGACTGCATGATGTTGAAAATTCCTAGACGCATTTGAACACATCAAACGCGGATAGGGTATCTTTAAAACCATACTTTTTCTTCTTTATTCCAGCAATAACATTTCAAATAATGTTAGTTTTATTGGCGTGTGTAAGGCTTCTGATAGGAAAAGTGAGAATATTTGAGGGAAGGGACATTTTAATCCTCAGACTAAAGACAAAGTTACAGCATGTTATTGAAAAAGAGGCACCGTAATGTACATTATCCATAGACTAAAACACACTTATCCCCACCAACAAAACGGAAGGTAGCAGCACTAGATGTCACACACTGACTTTTCTTTTTGTAGGGTTCATAGGGTTATTATATTATAACTACCATAATATATTGCATTCCTGAGGTATAGGCAGACAGAATACATTACAAGCTGGTGATAAGTTACTACAAGTGGTCATTGTTTGCTTTAGGTAAAGTTAATACTCAAAAATAAATCAAAACTAAAATAAAAGTATTATGAAACCTCACCTTGTCAAATGCTTAATGTGCTATGATTATTGTTATAAGAATGTTGAATATTAATTAGTGCTTACTAGGTACTAGCCCTAATTTTTCAGCCCAAAAATGTTCCTGCAAATGTATACATTTTTAACACTTGTATTTATAGAACAAAGTTGGTTTAGGCAAGGCCGGAAAACTTCCCCAGAGGAAACCCAAAAGTTTCATCCCCCTCACTCCTCCATTGTCTCGAAGGCGAATTCTTCTCCATCACTATCCGACAACATCTCCAAATGTTCATTCTGATAGCAATAACTGCAAAGAAAAGTAGTCCTACTATTACTAAACTGGAAGACGGAACGAAATAACCTATTTCTTTATTTTATAAGATTGAACCACTGGCTCAATCTTATAACAGATCACACATGCTCACGCCAGTTTGGACAGAAACTTCCCACAGGATCAACTAGCATTTACTTATTAGTAAAAAAATACCCAAATGTTTAGTTTCGGACACAAACGGGTTACAGAATAAATCAGAGCAGTACTCAGAGTGGCCACGGGGCGGCAGCAGCGCCCCGGCGGCGTGGTGAGCTGCCTGCGAGTCTTGGGAGGTCGAGGAAGAACCTGGAGGGTGAACTGGGAGCTGGTGTCCATCTTATTTACACCGGTGAGATTGCTCAATTTTTGATCTGTCGGATTTTTTAAGGAGTATACAAGTTGAAAGCCCGGTAAGTTGGCAGAATCACCCACACAACCACACTGGGAGGTTTAAACTCAGAGCCGGAGTGAGCTCCGTAAAGAGCTGCTGTTTGTCATGAGGCCTGTGTCCCAGCGATGCGCCATGTTGTATTTAGTTTAGCTTAGCGAGCTAACCACGGCTACATTAATTTAGCCCTGTATCGTAGCATATTTCCACCACGTATATATATAAGACTTGTTTGATCTTTAATAACACACGTTGATGAAGGATTTAAGACCAAAAAACGATACTAAAGTGACTACTTTATAAAGATAACTGTGTTCAATAGGTACCGCTAGCCTGTTAGCTTAGCTCTAATCAGGTTTGGGCAACAGCAAGCGTCAAGTTACTCTTATTATGAAAGACTATTACATCGTTTCTGCACAAGAAAACTCACATTCTGAAAATACGGAGAATTCATTTGACCAGTTGAAAATATGAATTTGAAACTGTAAATTATTATACTTATGTTTCAAAGTGTGAATTCAGTGTTGCTAGTTGGTTTCTTTCTGGATTATAATGGAGTATCCCCCCTCTCTTCAAAAGGTCTTCAGAGATGAGCAGTTCAGAGGAAGTGTCATGGATCTCCTGGTTCTGTGGACTAAGGGGAAACGAGTTTTTCTGTGAGGTGAGTCTCTACTCTGTCTGAGCACAGTCATTGTTGCCACCCAAACACCCATGTAGCCTGAGTCAAAATATCCCATGGTTTGGATTATTGTTAACCAGAACTAATGATTCCAGTATAGTGTATTAAACTCCATATTAACATTTCTCTCCTAGTTTAACTTCCACCACCCACACAGAGGGTTAAGTATTTTAATGAATGTAACGCTTACATCACTTCTAGTGAAACATTGTTAACCACTGACACCAAAATTCAAAACTGTAAAATATCCTGTGGGAATTCAATTTAAACTTACTGGGAATGAAATATTAACATACATTGGTTCAGGAGACTTATTGATTAGTGGCACACTTTTTAAATCACCCACTCTTTAATCTTTAGGCTTGGAGGAAGTTTTCAAGTATTTTCATGTCAAAAGTCTCAAGTCCAAGTGAAGTCTTCTCAGTCATTGGTGTTAAAGTCCAAGTGGAGTTGTATGTCTCTTTTTTTAATTTTGTGTTTTTGGAAAAATGGTGACAAGCAATGAAAGAATAACAAAAAACAGATGTAATATAATTTAGCATGGTTTCTAACATAAAAGTAAAAAGAAGAAACTGTGAGTAATTCATGTTCATTTGGGTCAGTTTACACTTGCTTGATATTGTTTTTCCAAGCCTTTAAGATGCTAAAGTAAACATTGTTTTTTCGGTTCAGTAAGTTTGCATTTTCACACATTTACACCCCATGGTCCTTAATAAATAGGTTCACGATTCCTTTATTCATATGTACTGTCAAAGTTATTTGAAGCTGTGAGTTTTCCTGCTCATACTGGCCGTGAAGAGATCCCAATGTAATTAAATTACAGTTTATGAATGCGTATTTTGAGCCTCAGCCCATGGTATCACATTTACAAAGGGATCTCTTCAGCACCCGTATGTACAGGTTGATTCCAGAGACTAAGAGACTCAAATGTACTTTCTGGCTTGATTCAAGAAATGTATATCCTGTCTGCTATGTGCCACACTCAGAGATAATCCGTTTTCTCATCTGATTTCTCCATCTAAAGGTGGATGAAGACTACATCCAGGACAAATTCAACCTGACGGGGCTCAATGAGCAGGTTCCCCACTACCGCCAGGCCCTAGACATGATCCTGGACCTTGAACCAGGTCTGTATTTATTAATGTCTTACATTTAGTCAAGCAAATGTTACCAAAGTTAGGAGTCTATCGTCACATTTGTTTCTTTTCTCACACAAGACGAGGAGCTGACCCGAGCTAGCCTAGCACTAAATAATCATGATTAAAACCACCATAATATTTATCAAAGCGTACAATCAGGGTTGATATGAACAGCTGTTAATATAAACAAAGTAACATTATGAATTCATTGCTGATGGTTTAAGGAACTTTGATTTTTGGATTTGCATTCAACAACTTCAAATGTTTTGATAAAGTGGACAAGAGTCTGGATGATTGAGATGAAGGTACTATGAAAGTGCTCCAAACATGCTTTTATTCTATTGAAAAGCTGTAAGAAACACTGAAAACTTTTCTCTGCTCAGTTTTGCCTCCCTGTGAATGGTAAAAAGATTTGCGACATTGACAGTGTTCTCCGTCCCCTTCTTTTCCAGATGAGGAGCTGGAGGACAATCCCAACCAGAGCGATCTGATCGAGCAGGCGGCTGAGATGCTGTACGGCCTCATCCACGCACGTTACATCCTCACCAACCGAGGCATCGCACAGATGGTAGGCCAGCTGCGTCAGCAAAGTCCACAACCCATATCTGCATTAGGGAACCTGTTTTTTCATTGCTTTGTTTTGATGGGCTGGTTACATCATGTGACATTTAAAGTTGTTAGTTTAAACAATACTGATGATGATGTACTTTCAATCGTTTTTCTGCATGTCTATTTATTGTGTTTAAACATGTTTTCTTTTCTGCATAGTGGCATCATCAGGCTACCTTTTTATATTATCAGTATTATGCTATTTGTAGAAATAATTTCAGCCAAACCTTTTGTAAACAATCAAACATACAGTTTATAAGTTATTATACGTTTGTTTGTTTGTTTGTTTGTAGCCTTTATTTATCCAGGTAAAAATCCCATTGAGATCAACGATCCCTTTTACAAGGGAGACCTGCCGCATTTATTGAAAAACGATACATGTAGTAACTTCCAAATGTCACAACATTTTTTTTTATGTGACAAACTATTCTGGTTCAATCTTTGTTGGTGTTTAGACCTTTTTATAAAAAACATTAAAATGACAAATGTTTGCTGTTGTTGTTGACGTTTGTATTTATTCACATTACTTTATATTAACATGCTCTTTAATACCTTACAGCTGGAGAAGTACCAGCAGGGAGATTTTGGATACTGCCCACGTGTCTATTGTGAGAATCAGCCTATGCTTCCTATCGGTGAGTAACAAGATTCATCACAGTCTTTTTTTTCTTGTGGAAAGAGGGCGTTTTATTTCCTACACGTTGTTTTGGAAAAAATGAAGAAGGAAGTATTTGTACTGTACTAGCATTGTTCCAGTGCTGTATCTATTTTTGATCTAGTAGATTTACTCTCTTCCCTGTCCTCCCCCACAGGTCTGTCAGATATCCCCGGAGAGGCCATGGTGAAGCTGTACTGTCCCAAATGTATGGACGTCTACACACCAAAGTCCTCCAGGCACCACCACACAGATGGAGCATATTTTGGCACTGGGTTCCCCCACATGCTCTTCATGGTTCACCCTGAGTACAGGCCCAAGAGGCCCGCCAACCAGTTTGTCCCCAGGTTAGTACTGCAGGTCCAACATGAAGGTGTGCCCCTTTTTGTCAAATTGACTCTTAACATGTCATGCTACGTTTTCCCTTACTCTTATTATGGTTGGCATTTTCCATTACTAGTCCAATTTTTACCATTCATCTTGATCTGGGTAGGCGCGTCACAGTGTCATAATGAGCCAATATATTATTAACCTTCTCAAAACGTTCTTTTTGCTTATGGGTTAGTTTGCTGAAAGAGGCTGTGGCTTAGATGGATTCTCTTTGACTTAATTTAATGTTTTGTCCAGAAAATATTAAAAAAAATACCAGAACCAATATATCAATACCATCTACTAATGGTTTCAGCTCATAGAAGATGTTACTTCAAATGAATTTGATGAGATGTGTTTTTATTCAGCAGATTTTCTGATCACGTTAGGAAACTCTAATCTCTTTCATCTCATGTCTGCCTCCTTTTCCTACATCCTATTTCATTCTGTTGCGATGTCTGTTTACAGAAAACGTTGCATAAGGGATAGTCTGGAAAGAGTGATGGTAAACATTCAGAGCTAATAGAAGATCATATGTCAGCGCTCTCTCCCTAAAAGCAAATACGTCTCTGATCCATCATTGTACACTGCCATGTCCATTTCAATACCTATGTTTGTGTTGCATCATATCGGTTTTATTTGAAGTACATAGAACAGTATTTGTAGCTTTTGTGCAACTCAGGACTTTATGAATCATCTTTGTTAATGGGTTTCGTCGGTATCATTGAACATCTGATCATATCAGGCTTCACCATCAATGTATGTCCACCAAAAGGGCTAGTTTTTGCCCACTTGTAATTGTATTATAAAAGTCTGATATTGCGAAAAAGGTTCGTACAAAGAAATTCCCTTTTCTTTTATTTACCAAACAGGCAGCTTGAAGCGCAAAAGTATTGTGTCCAACTAAATCTTCCGTCACAACCCCATTTGCGTTATTCGCTAAATATTTAGCATTGACTTGAAAACATATTTTAGATAACGCTAAGCTACGCTTTCTGGGCTCCAACAAAACAGTACAGAAACCAGCAACACTGTCCCTCATGTTTCAAATGTGTCTTATGGCAACTGGTCAAATCAACAAACCAAACCAATTCCCTGAAGACAATTCCTTGGAAGAAATAGTTTTTTATGTCCTAAATGTTGCCGGCACTGAAAAAGTTCCAAAACAAGCATCTTTAACTTTATTACATTGTAGCCCCTAAACACAAACATATTTAAAAGTAAGGTCAAGGTTGAGCAAATACAGAAGCTCCCCTTGACCAACCTTAACACTGGTCAGGAGAAATGCTCACACATGTTTGTTCTTTCTCCAGGCTGTACGGGTTCAAGATCCACCCCATGGCCTACCAGCTGCAGCTGCAAGCCGCCTCCAGCTTCAAGAGCCCCGTCAAGGCCATCCGCTAGACAGCCTGGACAAAGATGGAGAAAGAGGAGGAGGAAGATTTGTAGAGAGGGAGAGACAGGAAAGAATTATCAGAAGGGGAGGGGTCGTCTGCATTAAACAAAGCGTTGCAGGTGCCCCCTCCCCACCCTGAAGACTGTATTATTTTTGGTTTAGGTTAGGGCAAATGAAAAAGTGTAAAGATTTTCAAGTGTGAGCGAGGAATAAAAACGCACAGCCATGATCGTAATCACACACACACACACACACACACACACACACACACACACACACACACACACACACACACTACGTGCATCCACACACTTGGGATTCCATACACGTACCTTACCAAACTCATCAGTGCCAAAAACAGGAGGGTGGGGTAAGAGGAGGCTGATCATAAAGGAAGGGGCTTCTATAATCAGTGGGTGGCACTGCTGGGAAGATTTCCCCATAGACAAGGACTGTTACAGAAACATGAAGAAAAGAGCAACAGCTGAGTCAGCGTTCACCTCTGGCTCTGCATTTGGCACAGTTTGGTAACGGGTGGTGGTAAACCCTCCCCTCCCTATTAGCCCCCGATTGCATGTACACTCAGGCTGGCACTCGCATAGACAGTTTGGACGGTGGGTGTTTTTCTGTATCACTCGTTTGGGACAATTTGGTTTGTCTGATGTTTTGTGATGTTGGCGCACAAAACTTTCTGTTCAATTTGCCTTAAGATTCAGAGAAAATACCCAGATGTTTCTGTAGTTTTTTTGTTTTTCTTACAAGAGGCACAGGCAAAATGTTTCTTCTTTCTGCTGTTAGAGGAGGTGAAGTAGAAACTCATTAAATTAACATGAATTTCCAAATCGTTCAGACAATTGTAATTAGCATGTGTCGATTCTCCAGCTGTCTGTGCGTGTGTCAAACAACTGTCTGTATCGCTACCGAAGTGAAACATATAACCTGTGCTACAATCTGAGACTTGTCCCCTCCTGCAGCAGCTGCGTTTGTATCGTCATCCCTCATAGCTTCATCTCCCTTAAAGAAGAGTTTAACATTGTGGGAAATACACATATTTCTTATGGCAGAGAGTAGATTTGGAAGACTTTTACCAATAATTTAAAGGGGAGCATATCTATAATTGAAACAGGATGAATATTATATTTATATAATGTATTCATACCCCAGCTCAATACCCTCTTATATGCCCTCAAATGTGGAGGAATTGTCTTGACTTTAGATTTTTAACCATTCAAACTGCGTTTAAACATCAGTTTTCAATGACTCTTCTGCAATTTGTACTGTGAATATAATTTAAATTAAATGGACTTATATGATATATAGGATGATCTCATGTGAAGCTATCGCTAGTAGCATTAGCTTAACAAATGCTAATGGTAAAACGGCTAGCACTATTCCTTTTAGGTTAGTCCACCTAACAGCTCATCTAAAGCTTACTAGTTTACAAGTAGGATATTGTTTGTTATTAAGTACAAAAAAACATTTCTAAAAGTTTTCGTTACAGTGTAACTGTCGGCTGTTGCAACCCTTTGCAGTTGCTTTTGTACGCATAACAAGAAACTTTCTCGAGATAATGACTTAGTATCTCATAAATATCAATAATTTAATGAAATAAATGTCACATGACATTTCAGTTTTGGGATAGAAAGTCATTATTTTGTTAGTTTGTCAAAGACTTAAAGGAACTTTATTTTCAACAAGGTTCAACTTGTTTTTCTTCGACTGGCAGGAAGCTACTGCAATGTGTTTATTATTGAGCTTAAGAGGTGTTGATGGGCGAATTTAACCGACATTGGACACACAGCTTTTTATGCTAAATCAGGCTAACCGGCCTCTGGTTGTTGTTCACATTTAAAGTACAATGGTATCTGTCCTTTTACTCTCTGCCTGAAATGAATATTTTCCCAAAATGTCAAACTATCCCTGTGATGATCCAGTGGGAGACAGAGAAAGAGGAATTTAGACTATCTGAATCCTTGGGCTCACTCCACCACTCCACAGCACAGTCTCATTATTTATGTTCAGGTTCAGAGACAGACCGACCACCAGCCGCTTTTTTTTTGTTTTGTTTCTGGAGCAGTGGGGCAGACACTTAGTCACCCTTACTTCAATCCCTCCCCTCTTTACTTAGTGTGACTGCAATAGATTGTTTTTGGATTTCATAGTACAAGAGAAACGGTATTTATGTGTCCAGATTTTAACTGATGTTTATCCGTGTTGTCTTTCTGCTACTGTGGAAGGGTGAGCAGGATTCAGGATTCTCAATAAACTTCTATTTTCTTTTCATACTCTGTTGTACATGACTTTCTTTGCAGTTCTGTTTTCCTCCCACATAGTGTCAGTAGAGCACTCAGTACTTTAATAACTACATTTATAATGATATCATTTATAAAATATTTCTGACGCTGAATTAGAAGCATTTGGATTACATGCATACGAGCATATTATGCAACACAGGGATTATAAAACCAACCGTACATGCATCAGTGTTTGTGTGTGTTTGAGCTTGTAGGAAGAGTTCCTGTGGTGACACGGAAAGATGGTTTTCTGTATTTTGGGTGTGGTTATTGCAGTGACATTTCACATGACTCTGAGTAATGGGAATAGTTGGAAAACATGGACACGCACAACATAGCAAACAAACATTATCACAAGATCTCAGTCAGGCTTTCGTGATAATCTATTAATCAGCTTTTGCATGTCATTCAGACTTTTGACATATGAAAAAAGTGGGATTGTAAATAACAGAAAACTGAATACATAATTTGAAAATACCCTGCCCTTATTTTCAGTTTAAGCAAAAAAACATGGTTACATGTGACTCAGAAACTGTTTTTCCCCTCTGTGCCGCGGCTGTCTTTGGCAAAAATGACTGGCAGGGCTGAGGTGTCTTGATGTGGCCGAGCCCTGTTGGTTTTTCCAGAGGGAGAAGAGGAGGAGTTCCTCCATGACTCGGGATAACCTCAAACCACAGCTCGGGGCCTGCCCTTCTCTTCCTTCTCTTGGTGCAACTCTTTAACCTTGTGATGAGGAATCTCCCATTTTTGTAGCTTGCCACCTGACTATGAGAGCAGATCATCTTCTTTTAATAATCTGCTGAATGATAAAATATGTTTTTGAGCTGGAAATAAAACTCCAAATGTGGCAAGAGAGCAAGTCTAAAAGGGTTTGCAGACTTATGATCCTGTCAGTTGGGCTGCACTTATTGCTGTCATGATAAAATGTTCAGCTATGTGCTGCCACACCCAGAGGCCATGTTACTTCATTTTCCTCACACTGATTTTTTCTTTTCTTTCTTGGGGATGCTTCTACGACAGATAAAGCAACATGGGAGCCACAGAGGCTGAGACCACACGCAATAACAAACTCCATCAACGTGTATTGTTGATAGGAAATGTGCATTTGTAGTGGCTTTGCTGTCCCCATGCGACTCTTCATTCTTTGCTGAGCATGATGGCAAGAGTCCTGCACATTCTTCCAGAGATTTATCAAAGCTCGTACTTGACAAGACATGTTGACGCTGAAAAATAAAAGCCTGTCTGGTAACTTTGCCTCTCCTGCAAAAATAATTCCTCCCCTCTTGTTACATGTAGGTGTAAGTATTTGTTTGTCTTACAACTTTGAAGCACAGAAGCAGCTTTCATGTCAATTTCATGTCAAAAATCAGGCACAGGAACATTGATTAATGACAAATGTAAAATACCTGTTTGTAAAATGATTCACTCCCTCCAGGTCACTATTTAGGAGATGCACCTTTGGTAGCAGTTAAAGAATTTAGTCTCTGTCAAATTTATCTCGATTTAGCAATCTTTCCCCAATGGGTGCAGCTCTATCGATTGCAGGTTGAATGGAGAGCCTGAGCTGCAAATTGAAAGAAAATCCTGTTTGTGTGTTTTGTGATGTCTTTTGTGTGTTTGTTGTTATTGAGTTATTGAGTATTATAATGGCCTGTCTAGGGAGCCTCATTGCAATTTAGCTTAAGCTATAAATGTGGTGTTGTGTGCCATTTGTTTATACTTATAATGAACGATAAATAAAAAATGTAATTCTTAAAATGGGTTGATATCTGACCCGGACCATTCCAGGACTTTAACATTTTGCTGTTTCTGTGTAGCTTAGGCTTTGTGCTCAAACTCAATGTCTTGCTGCTGGAACACAACAGTTTTCTCAAGCTGCAGGTTTCTTGCAGACTGCATCATGTTTTCTTTCTCTTTACTTCAATCAGCTTGCCTTTACACACACACGTCTTCCAAGGCCTGTCACAGAGAATCACCCCCACTGCATGCTGCCACTACCATACTTCATTCTGGGGATGCTACTTTTTGGTGATGTGATGTCATGTGACCTTTGAGCTATAGAAGCGTGGCCCCAGGGATGGGAGGGCTGGTTGTTGCACCACTGAAATACAAATCGACTTTTGTCTTCAACATAACTTGTCCAAAGAGAGTTTTTTCATCTTTGCCTCTCTCCCATAAAACACCAGTCTGACTGTCCTTGTATCCAGTCTAAAAACAGTCAGTCATATGCTACACATGTTGTTGGCATGTCACATTATCAAATATATTTTATACCAAATAAAAAAAACAACCAGGAGAAATCCAACATTTTATTCAAGGTACAATACAATTGGTCAATACAATGCACGTTTTAGATGTAGGTAGTTCTTAATTATTTAATTCAACCAGATGAAGGATTTGAAGTTATCATTATCAGACAAGCAAGATGAGCAAACAGCGGAAGTTTAGCAGCGTTGGTTTTAATCATCTTGTCCCTCTGCTTTGGAGAGATCTGTGGAAAATGTGGCTACCTGTAAATCCTCCTGAACATTGAACCATCAAAGAACAGGGAAAAGTCGACTGCAATGACTAACTCCCATGATCCCATGCTACATCACAACGCCACCCAAGGAGGCAGAAAATTACACCTTGTGCTTTTATAGTTCTTTGTCGATGACTTTATCTAATATTGCAAAACACACAACTTGAGAATTCACGCTTATAGGCCAAATGTTAATATTTAAACCGTTCTGCTTTTGTTCCTCCAAAGTTACTATATTCATGTTGATATCAGCTGTCATTGCTGTGACTGATGTATTCAGGATTAGTTTGGCAGGCTTCTCCCACACGCCCTCTTTCCAAGTGAAGGGAGTTGAGAAACTCTGAGGATCTGTGGGCAAAACATTTCACCGGGCCCAAACAGCCTCCCGCTCAGCAAAGTATTTCAAAACAATTACTCTAAATATTTCATTTCATAACTGTCTCCCCTGCCAGCAGCAAACCATATCATGCCCCTTTTTAAAGTCACATGCCGAGATAATCATTAGACAAAAACAAACAAGCCTACCACTTACAAACACCAGTGCTTTTGACTGATGTGGGTAAACAAACTGGGAACATGTTAGTAATTGCTTCATCCGTGACTCAACCCATCACTAACTAACCAATGCTTTGTCATCTCTCCCTGTTTGCAAACACTCAGAAACAAACAGAGACAGAGAATGCTTTGGGACAAACTGGGCGAGACCAGACTTGCAAATATTTCAGCTCATCCAAAGTCCTAAAATCTAGGTGAAGCCGTTTTATCACTGCGTCTCATTCATCTAGATCAGCACGTGGGGGAGGACCTGCAGAAACTTCCCTATCCTAGTTTGGAGTTGATAGAAAACACAAAATATATTTTAAACTTGGATGATTGTTTCTTCAGGAAACAAACTGTAAAAGTTGTTTCTCTAAAACAAAATGCTGGTTATCCAGCAGACATATGTGCAGAATTTGCATCAGTAACAAAATACCAGTCATTTCTCGAGGTAAACATGTCTGTGTACTCTTTTCTTATTACTTAGAGCCAAAAACACATTAGCATAAAAAATAATTCTTACTATGCATTCGAGTTTATTCATGCCTCGATCCTATGTTTCAAAGCAAACTGAGACAACTGGTTTTTACTGATGAATAAACAAAAATGCTAACACAATTAAATAATTCCTTGCCTGATTATAACCTGATTTAACAATAAAAACACAAAATGTATCCCCTTTTCTACGGCCAACAGCTAAACTAAAATAAATTACATTCAATAGAAGTGTATGTGAGCAACAACAATTTCAAACAACCATTGCTTCTATATAGAGCTTTTGTGTTTTACATGATCATTACCCTTTTTTATACAATGTGGGAACTTGGCCTCTTCCGCATTTTAGATGTTCGCAATTCTGTTACCTTGGCTTTAATGTAATTTGTGCATATCTTTTAAATATTCATGTAACAAGAGGGAGGTAGGTTTAAACTGTATGATATGGCTCTTTTAGTGTCCTTCCTACTGATGCGGACTAAGTCTGCAACTGACTATTATTCTCAGCATCGATAAAATGGTGGTAAAGACAGAATGCTGAGTAGACAGTTGAACCAAAAACAGGCTCAGCAGGAACATAAATAGACTATTATCCAATTATTCATTGTGTTATGAAGCAAAGAATAAAGCAATCAGCGAGGAAGTGTACTGTGTCATTATAAGCTCATTTTCTTTAGAAATGTATTTCTTAAAAGCTGGCCAGTTTCAATTTGAACTGACATGATATATACGCACACACACACACACACACACACACACACACACACACACACACACACACACACACACACACACACACACACACACACACACACACACACACACACACACACACACACACACACACACACACACACACACACACACACACACACACACACACACACACACACACATAAACAAACACACACTGAAACACACCAGCCAGGAGGTTTTAGATGCCATGACAGATTAGGATACTGTTTTTAGTCTGTTTACTGAGTCTCTTTGAGCAACAGGAGGACAGATAGTAATTATCTCAATTTGCTCAGTTATGTTAATATAGCTGCTCCTTTGTGTACTCTTATCTTAGAGATGGTGTCTTGAAGTTGTTAAATGTAAACTAAAAAACATACCATTTAGGCTTTTGAAATTATATGTTCGATATATTATTACTTCACCTACTTCATTGTTATTAAGATGTACATTGTTATTCTATTTGTTAAGCTGTGGTACTGCTATTGCTGTTATTAAAGCCTTTAAATGTCTTCATGACATTTTTATCGTTTTCATCGTCACACATGCAGTCATGCATGCAGCAAACTGTTGAATTGATGTTGTCTTTTTTTACTGCCTACTTCTTCCATCTTATCTGTGAAGCACTTTGAACTGATTCACCTGCATGAAAGGTGCTATATACAGTTTGTTTGATTTAATAATTGACACTATAGATTACAATTAGAAGTGGATGAGTTAAGAGCCTCTAATTTGCAACTCATATTTCCTCCAAATTCCCCCACTACTGTTTCTTTTCTAGACTGAACAAAAACAAAACTGAAAGCATTGGTTTAATCATTAACAATTACATGTATTAATAAGCGTGTCATCTGTATTGTTTATGTAATCATAATCTAAACTAGCTGTGTAATTTAGATAGTGGAGTAAAGAGTACAATATTTTCTGCTGAAATTAAGTAAAGGTAAATAGCACCAGACAGTGATAAATGTACAGAGTGGCTACAAAGGTAATAAAACAACATTTAAGTCACCTTTCAGCTCCATCAAAACAATATAAATCCACACAGGATCGACATTGAGTTCAATACAAAGAAACCAGCATTCAAAAAATGTAATTTCCTGTTTTCCCAGCTTTCCCACACTCCTTGCAGGAATGTAATATCCCTTTACCTGTGAGTCACCCAGGTGGGAGAGTTTAGAAACTGGGTGGATTTCCCAGAAGACCTCCTCTGATTGGATAACGGTGACGTTCGGATGGGAGGTGGAAAATGATAAATGGCTGAAAAAGTTTGTTGTGTGATCAAATATTATAACGGTCTGAGTCCTCACAGGCACACAGTCTCTGCAAGTGTATAACTGTACCTTCCTTTTCTCCAAGATGAACAGAATTATTCTCCAGCTTTTGGCTGTCGGATTCTGCTTTGCAGTCGGTGAGTAAAAACGACATCAATTCTGATTAAGCCTTTTAATTTTGCGTCATTCTACAGCGTGTCAAACTCACTTATCAAACAGTGATTAAAACCGAACGGACTTTAATTCCAGAGGCATCGTTTAACTATTTCTGCTGAAAAAAATAACGTTTTTGCTACACAACATTTAGTGAGGCTGTGTTTTAATGTCCTTGGGTACCCTGAAAAATATCGGTTGGGTCTGCAGCGTATCGCTGTGTTAATCATTTAGACCTACTTATTTATTTTGTGCATGTTGTAGGCTAGATGATTAGCTTACGTTACATTTCAAAATGGTCCTTCTAGATTGATCTTTAATTTTTTTTCCGTGGTTTACATTTTTTTATAAAGATTTGCTAGACGAGAAAGCTCCTACCAAATACGTTTTCCTGGGGTGAAAAAGTAATTAATGGCTTTATTTGTGGTTATTTTGGAAATGTGTCTCAGTTGAATGCTGAACCTCGATGCAGATGTTGACAGGGTGTGTTCGCTACAAGTGGTGTATCACATCTATTTAGGGGCAGGGGGCCTATAGCAAGGTGTGGGCACATTCATGACTAAAACTACAGTGATTGGAGATTACATTTGTTTTTGGTTATTGTCATAACATGATATACAATTTTTCTGGTTTTGTTGCGTGAGTTTTTAGTTGAATGGAGAACTAATTTGACAGTTGCAGATAAGACTCAGCTATATTCATCTGTGCATTTGTTCTATCCATATACTTTTTTCTTTTTCAAATTTAAAAAAAAAAAAAAAAAAAGAAAGCCAGATAAAAAAAAAAAGATAGTTAAAAAGCACATGTTTGAAATTGGCTAGTAAAATAATGGGTTATACTGTTGCAACAAGTAGCTTAAGTATGATCAAATTGAGCTTAAGGTTATAAATGAACAGTGGAAAACGTTAGGTTAAAGGTTTACTAAGTGGGCTTAAAGTAATGTGCAACTATGGGTTAACAGTGGGGTAGTTAGCTCAAAGTAACACACAGATGGGCGGGATGGGCAAACAGGCTAGTTGAAGCCGTTAGCTTAAGTGACAGACAAACAGTTCAAAAAATTAGCTCAAAGTATTGCATCAACACTTGACATAGTAAGCTAATGATTGATTATGAATTCTAAGTTTTATACAAAAAAAAAGTAAAAATGGTTGTGATTCAAGTATTTCAATTGTGACTATTTGCTGGTTTTCCTCATCATATCCAACATTAAAATGAACATGTGTTCTGTTGGTCAGAAAAAACTATAGGCTACATTTGAGAAACCACCTAAGTTTCTGGAAATGTATAATATAATTGTTTCTCTACTGTCTGTTATTCAAATGAGAAGCGGTTAAATGCAAACAGTTTGGTTGCCATTGACTAGTCCTATTCAACGGACAGCTTGATTCTCACAACAAGTAGCTGCAGAGTTTTCCTGTTTGTATCCTCTGTGCACATCCCAGGCTTTACTTTAATGCTGTGATTACAGGTTAGGGTAAGGCAGCCTGTTTGTAGTAAGAGGGTGTCATTTTGGGGTTTCTTCCAGACCTTATTAAAAGACTGAATCATGCCCCAACCTGCCAGCCATTGCATGAGAAATTCCTCACCTTGTAACAGTTGACGCTTTGCCCAAGTCTCAAATTCCACTCCGACAGAGGGTCTGTAGACTGGGCCCGTTATAATAGACATGTTATTCAGCTATTGTATTTTGAGTCTTTTGTAGTCCGATGTAATCCTTTGGGTACCCTACTCTCTGTTGTTAAAGTCTCCCGTTTCAAACCACACCCTAACTTTGAGGAACTATATTCCCATCTTGGCTGCTTTATTATACTTGACACGTGAAAACCTTTATCTTTTTAACCTACAAACCCTTTACTAAAGTTCTTGTTTGTGACAAAAGGTGATTCACAAATGCAGGTAATTATATACCGAGGTGACCAGGAGGGATGAAAAGATATGGGTGTGTGGGTGTGTTTGTTCCTTAGGGAGAAGCAGAGGATTCCAGATGGCAGTCTGGTTGATTTTTGAAGTAAATATGTTACAGGCTACTGAGGTTTACCCAAGCACCAGCCGTCAGAATAAAGACAAAAATACTTGGATACTTTTGAACCCAGATGTCAGTTAAGTTGTAAAATTGAGAGTAACATTTAGTGCTGACCAACTTTACTTTACTTTTTTACTTTATCTGCAAAAAAGCAGATTTAATTCAGAGGTGGACAAAAAGCACCGTGTGCGACAAACAGTTAATGTGAAAACTCCCCCCATCAGTCTGGCTAATCAGCCTTCGAGGATCTGGGTACTGTGACCTTGGTGTGTGTGTATATATACACAACTCACAACACACACCTGAGTGTATTCACCCTAACCTTTTGTAAGGTTGTATGTGTAAGGATTATCATCCTGGTACATGCAGACGCTTTTAAGTCAGTCTGTACATATTTACCCTCCCCATACTTTTAGTACACTTGTTTGCGTATATATTTCACGATATGACGTCTCCTTTTTAACTTTCCATGCGCAGTGGGACGGTATTTTAGCACATTGCTCTAAATGTGAGCCTAATTTCTGGCAGAGCGCTGATTGCTGTAAAAGCAACATCAAAGACACGATCAACCACATCAGAGCTATAATCACTTTTATTATTTCTAGCTCCTTGTTATTTTTGATTTTTACAGGATTTTCGTCTCTTAAACACAGCCAGTTTTTATTGGTATTTGTTCTCTGTCCCTTTGTGTTTTGGGTTCCTCCTCGTGTTCCTGTGGTAGAAACGGCAGAGCTGATGTTTATGATGTGTAGTTTTAGTGACGGAGCAGCAGAGGGCAGTATATGTCTGGCACTGCACTTTGAGGGTGCCACACCTCAGAGATCAGACTGGGTTTGTTATCAAACTGCTTGAAAGAGGTAGAGAGTTTAGTTCAATTTGAAAAGGCTACTTTACTAAAGAATAGTCGCTGGTCACCTAGCAACCAGCATTATTTGTTGAATTATTTATCTGCACTAGCTCTTAATTTAGCTTAAAAGTAGTTTTGTGAATACCTTGGGCTGTAAATCCCTTTTTGTATTAAATAACATAATACATTTTCTACTTAGCTACTTACCCCTACTCACTTCTAATTACCTACTTCTACTTGACCTAATGAAGGATATTGTAATCTTTGACCTATAGTTGAATTTATTTTTACAGCCATAGTTGCCTAATAATTTGAAGAAGAAGACTTCATGTACAAAATATTAATGGTTTAGTTTGTGGGTGTGATAGTGGGGTTGTATAAGGTGGCCTACTTATTCAGTCGGTGTCTATGGAGGTAACACACTTACGATGGATACCTCATACAACCCTACTTCAAACTACCAAAACTGTCCATTTATCAATAGATAAATATATATAGCAATTGAATTTCAATGTTACAATTTGTTTTTTAACGCCATTACACTCCTGTCAGTTACTTGACTGGGACTCCACATTGAATGGCCCTTCGAATGTGTGTATTTTCAAAGCACATTTCTCAACGAGCTCATTGACGGTGCTTCAGGGGAAGTGACGTAATTGTCTGCACAATGGCTTCCAGGAATAAGAAAATACATGTTTCTCTCTCTATGCCAAAGTGTTCTTGAAGTCAAGAAGTCATATGCATCGTGACCTTTTAATCTCGGAAATATGTAGTGATGCCTGTCACCTGCCAATTCTCCCCTGCCTATCGCGTCTTGTTTTCATTAGACACATACTTCGCTTCTTGATCCTTGGCCTGCGCTTTGAGTAAACACGCTGGCGTTGTCGCGATCACGAGAGGTGAGGATGCAACAAATTACATGTTGAGCCCCTTCTGCTACAGTGAACAAAATGCCCACTGTAATTGAACATCATTACACTTTAGTGATCCCATGTGACCTCCCCTCCGGACTGCCTCAGACTCTCCTCACCTCCACAAAGAACACTGTGTAAATGTGTTTTTATTATTTATTAAACCTTTATTTAACCAGGTGGTCATCATCGATCTCTTTTTCAAGGTAGAACTGTGTCGTGTTTGGAAGACTTTATTATATGGAGGGTCAGATTAGATTTCAGATGGCAACATGTTGGTCGGCATTGCAGAGCGCTGAAGTATTACTAGGTGTGGCTGCAACAAGGCCATTTTATGTCTCTTCAATTAGTAATTATTTAAGATTCATTATTTGCTGACTTTTTACTTTATTGCGGTTTAGCTTGGTTTTAAAACAAGTCAATCAGATATATGTTGCTTTTTGGAAAAAAATGTGAAGGTTGAATGTCTTCCAGATCAAGAAATCTTTGTGTGAGATCATATGTGAAAAGGCGCCAAATAGAAGTACAGAGGATAGTCAGCTCTTTCTGAGATGTAAGCTCTACTTAAACTCAGAAAAACCGGAACAAAAGGTGTGGTGCGGTTTCTGTAGTAAGGTGTGGCCTTGTTTTGCATCTCTGAGGTAAAGGAGTGCGATATCTCGTGACATTATAATTGACACCAGGCAGACCAAAGGGATCATACAAAATGTATTTTGTCACTTGAAAATATCTCCTACACATTCTACCTTTTCAAATAAAACTCTCCCACTTTTGGTGAAGTCTTAGTTATTTCTCTACTATTTACTAATTATGAAAAGAAAGTGCAGACTAAGTATAACCAAACATGTCAGTGCCTGCTAAAAATGATGAATTTTCATGACTCAGCTCATCAAAGACCTAAGTCTCATCAGAAAATAATGATTGGTTGCTTGAGAGAAAATGCCTAGCTTGATTTTGATTTTGAAAATCTGTATTACTTACAGCCCTTCAATATTCATCATTCATTTAAAGTGAGACGATACATTCTTAAAAGAAGAAATATCACGTTATTTCTCCCTTCAACAACACAGAATAAAGTGCACCATTGACTTTAACCTACTTTGTCTGGAATAACTTATTGGGGGCTTATCTTGGGAAACACTCGATAAGATATTACTAGCTGACATTACTGAAAGGTTTTTCAGGTCTATTTATTATTGTTAATTTGTTCAATTATATAAACAATACCAAATCTGCTTTTAAAGTTGTTTGTTTTGTAGCATTGAAGATTTAAATGTCAATGATCTTAATATAAATATTAAATCTGGGTGATTTCTAAGATTGCTTTTATATTATTGAATGTATTACTTTTACACACCTGAAGGTTAAACAAATGGTTACCAACTTGATTTGCTCATGTCCTTGTCAATGTGCATTTCTCCAATGGAAGTGGCATTTTCAGATTTAACCAGATGTAATTTTTTTTTAGTCCTGAGGAGATAAAGAACAAGAGGAAAATTAAAGTCGGAGGAGGATTTCCTTGGTTGGAAATCCTCTTTTGTCCCCTCATTAGTTTTATGATCTGGGTCCTGATTGCTGATTGGGTACCACAAGGTACAATTATACAGTGTAATACTACAAAAAAAACATTGTAATCTTACAAGTCACTTGTCAGACTGTCAGGATCTTTTATAATCACAGAGTATAAACTTTACTCTGAGGAAAATCCCTGTGTTAAACATGTACACACAGTACAACATACATGAACATTGGCTTTATTAACTTATTTGAATAGTTTTGAACTAAACACACAAAATATATCTTGATCTTACACAAAAAAAGGAAAGGGAACCTTCCAGACACATTATTTTTGTATGATGACTTCAGTGTGTACTGTCCACGGATGTGTTTACATGGAAACTGGATCGGCAGGTTCCTGACAACAATGGCTTTCCCGGAGCTACCTCATGGTGCAGTATCTCCCCTCCCAGCTCTGAGTCACACAGTTTCACAATGGCCGCCCGTCAATGCTTGATTCCTAACCAAGAACAAAGACGTAGTTTAAGTTTGTTGTCTTTACAATTTAAAATTTGTTCCATCTATTTACATAGCAACACTCCCAGTCAAGGTTTTTTTTTTTTATTGACCTTTAATAGCAGGAACGTCTGTGAAACTTTCTTCAGGCAGCACTGAGCAGATTTATTGTAAGATTCCAGCAAAATGTTCAGTGCACTTAACAATCAAAGCTTTGTTATTTGATCAGTCACAAAACAAGTGTACAGTTGCGTGCATGTAAGGCACTCCTCTGGTTTCTGAAAGAATTCAATGGTTGTACTGATCCTTTGCCTCATGTGACTTCATAAAGGGTTGAATTGACCAGGCCGTTATTACATTGGATTGAGTTTATTTACACTTTGTTCATTCATTATTATAACAGTTTATGTTTTTTCCAATTTTCCAATCTTTAGCACAGCTCAGTGGATGCTACAATCTCACGGTGCTAACAAAGTGACACTTCTGGTTGTTTTTACCTTAATTACACTCAAAATAATGCTTAGATTTTGATCAACAACACATATTTTCAGCCCAAATCATACACAATACAACCTTATTTAGAAAAGAGAACAGCAACCAGTGATGCAGCATAAATTGCAAATAATAACTTGCATAAACAAAAGAAGCATCCTTATATAAGTGGACCGATTGTGACAGAAAGTATGAGAGAGGAAGTATCAGAAACATTTTGAATACAGGGAAATGAAGGTGATACAATAGAAGTAGTAATGTGAACAAGGTTGTGAGACTGTGTTCATATTTGATTATTCTTTCTGGGTGTGGGTGTGCTCTTGATCCAACAAGGTGTGGCTGATGGTGATAAAGTTATAGAAGGAAAACATTTCTCCTTCTCTTTAACTTACCTCAAGGCCTCATTCCAAAATAGCGGATTGATTGACCTACCTATCTTTAATTATAATAAAGTTACTAGTTCATACACATCCAAAGTTACAAAAACTGACAATGAATGGGAAGAATACACGTTACTTGTAGCACTTCTTGAAGGTGCTGGTAAAAAAGTATATTGATTTCTTGTTATGAAACTTCTAAATAAATTCCAGGCTATGATATGAGATTTTATGTAGTCGTTTCATGTCAAAATTGGCAAAGTTAACCCTGATATTCGTGAATTGAAAAAGTTTCTCCAGTCTATTTTGCTCTCCATAAGAGTTAACTTTTCTTCTAGATGTAAATCTGTTAGGTGGTGTATTAACATTTGCCATCTCTGTGAATCTATTTCCTGATGTCCCTCACATTCATCACTACATGCTGCTCTGGACTTGTCCAAATTGTATGGTGGTCGTTAAAAACTTGCTTCTGTCATGTAGGCTCATCTCTGTGAGTTGGACTGGTAATATCCTGAGCAAATGAACATCCTGGGTTGATCCCCTATGACCTTTTTAGACCCGTTATCTGTAAGGCAGGCTTTTGTCAACAAACCTCGACTATAAACCCACCTTCCAAACTAATGGTTTGAATGTATATGTTCTTAAAAGGGAACTATTATCTGTAGTCTGCTGTCATTTTGTGTCTGTAAACTGATCACAACTGTGAAACTGAATACTTTAATCCTTGAAAGCCTTTGTTTCAGACACACGAGAGAATGTTTTATTAGCTACGTTTGTCACATATTTTTGTCTGTGGAGAACCTATTTACGCTAATTCTGCTATTCTTCTTCCTCTCCCCTTGTTTCCTCTATCTTCCTCCTGTGTCCCTCCAACTCGCAGGTCAAGCCCTGCAGTGCTACAAGTGCAAAATCGGCTTTGGCAACTTCTGCATAACCACTAAAACAACATGTGCAAGTGGAGAACGATGCTTCAGTGGTCGTGGGGAAGCAGGTAAGAAGCTAACAATCTCACCAGACGACATTCTCCTAAAGGACGGTCGTCACCAACACTCATGACTCCACATCGTATGCATTCTTGACACCTGTAAAATTAATTTCAAGGTTGAGGGTTATTATTTTCCCAGGACAATTGCATGATTTTATAATTGGTTGATCAACAGAACATTGTAGTAAGTTTAAAACATGGATTCCTTATCAGGGCTCCCATTACCTCATGTGGTACTTTCACAGTGGCCCGGAGGTACAAGGAAAGATTTTCAAGAAGCTCAACTATTCACCAGTCAGTTTTAACACATTCAACATTAGCTGTTTACACTTTAGGAAAAAGTCATGAATAAACAGTTTAAATGGTTAGCATAGTACTGGAGGAAAAATGATATGGGTTGAACTTATATCCATCCAAAATAGGTTGATGTTACATGACTTGACTTGACTGAAAAGCTGGTATTCTTGTGCCCACACAATCTACCCAACCCTATGCACTAAAGCAGGGGTCGGCAACCCCTGGCTGGCACGCGGCACCGTAACCAGTGGCACACTAGGAATAAGTGGAATAAGTGTGCACAAATATTTAAATTGTATTTTCGGATCCTGAACGAGACCGCCGCCAGAGCGCGTCTCCCCGTTACCTGCAGAAGGAAGGCATGCACGCAACGCAGCCCCGCTCTCTTTATCTCCAGGTGACATTCTGCCGCTTTCCTCCGTGGTGCAGTGCTGATCGTTTCAGCACGGAGGAAAGCACTTCACTAATTGCAGTACTCATAAGGAGCTGTACAAATGCCGCAGTTTTTGCGTGGCTGTGTATTTAGTTGAAAGCCCAGTGGCGATCTGCTCATCTCTCATCGACATAATATGCTACAAAGGGGCGGACTGTGTGTTGAACTTTCCTGTCGGCTCCCAGACCGTGAGAGGTCCGAGGGGGCAGAAGCAACAAGCTTTCAGGTTCAATAAACCCCACTTAGTAGAGAGAGGCGAACTCTTTTCTTGGGAGGCCGTTGCCATTTATTGTAGCTGTTCTTTCTGTTTCACAAAGACCTCGTTTTTCTGCTTCCTCTGTTTTCCCACTTCCAGCAGAAACATACAACGTTCCTCCATAGGTTCTTTCGACTGTGCGCTCTACCATCCACAAACATACACACGCTCGCTCTACCATCCACAAACACACATGCACACGCCACACCCCTCTCTCTCTCTTAAAGGGACATCGATCTCATCTCACTCTGCATGACCCTAATATCATAGCATGTGCGTTCTGGAGAATCACAGAACGGACGATAGTCCTTATTATTATGCCGTTTAAACCAATTATTTAAATTCGGCATCATGTGAGTTGCGCTGACACGCTGCTTCCCCGCAGCGAGGCTCCCCCGCCCTCCTGCTGATAGTTGACGAGCGTCAAGCTCCTCAA